CAGCTGTATTTTCAGCATCATTACTCCAGTCTTCAGTGACACATGATCTTCAGAAATCATTCTGATATGCTCATTTATAAAATGGCTGATAAAAATTCAGCGCTGCGTCACAGAAATAAATTATATTAAAGTATATTAAAATAGGAAACCAATATTAGAAACTGCAATACTATTTCACAATATTACTGTTTTTTTTTCTGTAGAGACAGACATTTTTTAAAACATTAAAAATCCTTCTGATCACAAACTTTTGACCGTTAGTGTGTATATATGTACACACACACACACACACACACACACACACACACACACACACACACACACACACACACACACACACACACACACACACACATGTCTGGTCAGCTATCCTTGTGGGGACTCTCTATAGGCGTAATGGTTTTTCTACTGTACGTACCGTATATTCTATTGCCCTACACCAACACACACACACACAATAGCAGTATGTTCAATTTTGTAGCAGCTCTCAAGGTTATCAGAGATTGCATTGTGTCTTGTGCACAGTCAGATTTATTCACTAGTTTGAAGTAAAAACGGTCAGCATGGCTTTTATTAAAGCTCTTCGAGAGGAAAAACATGCAATCAGACAGAAGCTTTGCATTCAGACAAACGCCTTTGTGCGGCTCACAAAACAATAACACGCAGAAACGATAAGCCTGAATACCTCCCACAAAATAATTCACTTTCAAGGGTACATCTCATTTTTTCCTGTACGTCTGTGTTTCTTTGTCACTGGACTTCCATTAAGCTCAGCAAAGAGAGAACAAAGACAGGAGAAAAAGCACTGGTTCCCTCAATCTGCTGCTGCTGAAACACATTTGTTCAACACGTAAAGCACGACTGATGGCTGTCAGGCCCAAACTGTCATTAAGGAGCTAAACAGAGGAGTGTTAGGCATTAGGCCAAACCAACTAATGAACATTCAGTGAAAAACTGAAGATCAGAAGATGATGAAGGTCGTCCTGCGCAAATCAGGCTTTGCTAACAGACTTTTACTGAAAGATGGAGAGATCATTGCATTTGTGCACTCAACAGCTAATATTCTCAAGGGAAACCTCATATGCAATGGGAGGAGATTGAAATATGATGATGTATTCAACATTTTTCATGATTACACTCTTAGAAAGAAAGCTTCTTTATTGGCATTTATTGATCAGTGTTATTGTAGTATCAGTATAGAGATACTACTAGAGTTCATATTCATATCTTGGTTTAAAAAACAATCAAATCCAATAAATATTAATACATTAATATTTATTATATTTGATCAAAATATAAATATTTAATTTAATTTTTGAAAATCTGAATTTTATTTTTTAATATAAAAATATAATTATTTGTGTATATATTTTTGTAGTAATTTTGTTGTGTTTTTGTTATTTTCATTACTTTTGTTTTTTAAATATATCTAAATAGTTTTAACATGCAGTTTTATTTTATCACTGAAACAGTTTTTATTAATATTTCAAATTACTTGTTATTTTTAGATTATATGTTTGCATTTTAACTTTAGTTAACATTTAATTTTAGTAATGTAATATTGTTTAGTTATTGTTGTAATAATATTGAGTAAATTTTTGTTTTTAGTAATATTTTGTATAAATTTTAATATTGTTTTGATATTAATTCATATTCATCTTGTCAGGTGTAATAGTAAAAACACAAGATAATATAAGATTTCAAAATATTAGCTTATTTCATATCCAGAGATGTTAGCCAATCACAGCAGTGGGTGTTTGAATTGAAGTCTTAAAGGAGACACGCCCCTTTAAACAGTGTTCAAATCAGAGAGCTAAAATCAAGGTAAAGTGGCTTTTTATTCCTAAATTCTGATGTTTTTGATGTAGAAATCCTAATAATATTATGAGTGCACCTTAGGAAACATTATACAATAATAAAAATGCAGTTCACGAACCATTAAAGTCTTTTTTTTTTTTTTTTTAAATACTAATGTTTTATGGTTTATGTTTGGGAAGTGTAGTTGAACTACTTTATTTTCTGAGTCCCTCGTAGTTCATGAAGCTTCAGCAGCACTAGTAAATGCAAAAGTTAAACTGCACACCACACACACACACACACACACACACACACAGAGACCCCTGCAGGCCTGCTGTGAAGGCCAGAGACTCAGACTCATCCATCGCCATCAGGTCTGCAGAAATGAAAAACAGTGAGACCTTCAGCAGGAGGTCAGAACCCAGAAACAGCCTCCAGTTCCTCAACCCTCACTCTCTCTCTCTCTCTCTCTCACACACACACACACACACACACACACACACGTGTGTCAGGTAGGACAGTACACCGCTGGGGGCCACAGCTCATCTCTACTGAACTCAAACACACTCAACATCACCGACGGCCTTCAAGTGCAGATGCAAAGATCACCATTCTGAGCTACACCAGCAAGGATGCATAAAAAAAATTAAATAAAGAAATAATTTAAAGAAAGAAGTATAAAGAATCTAAGATATACAATAAAACATTAACTTTTTAGTATAATATTATATATAATTATATATAATTACATATATAATGTTTTATAATATATTATACAATAAGTATGTACATATTATAAAATATTATCAAAGTTTTAGTGTAAATATGTATAGTAAATGTGTGTGTGTGCATTTAAAGAGTTCTAAAAAATAATATGCAACTCATAAAAGTTATAGTATAAAAAGCATATACAGTATACAAAGCGTACTGTATGAAACATTATAAAAGTATAAAAAAGCATAAAACCTACATAATACATACAAATAATTTTGCATATTTATCATGGTAGATAGATAGATCTTGGCAGATACATCTTTTTCAGTTAGAGTTCAAAATTATGCCTCATCAACAGCATTTCTCTCCTGTGGGGTTCCCCAGGGTTCTGTTTTGGCTCCGTTGCTTTTTGCTTTGTATTTCCTGCCTCTGGGGCAATTGATAAGTACTTTTCAAGGTATATGCTATCACTTCTATGCAGATGATATTCAACTTTATATCTATTTTAAGCCCGATGAGATTATGAAATTATCTCTTCTTTTAAATTGTATAAATACTATAGAAGTCTGGATGGGAAACAATTACCTGCAGTTAAATTCTGAAAGAAAAAAAAAAAACCCAGAAGCTTGTGGAGGTGATGGAAAGTCTTGGCCCCTTATCACATTCTGTTAAAGGGGTCATATGATGCGATTTCAAGTTTTCCTTTCTCTTTGGAGTGTTACAAGCTGATTGTGCATAGATAAGATCCCTGAAGTTGCAAAGACTAAAGTCTCAAAACCAAAGAGATATTCTTTATCAAAGTTAAGACTCTGCCACGCCCCCCTAAAACGGCTCGTTCTAACACACCCCACATATCTACCCCCACTATGTGGAAATATTTGCATAATCCCGCCGCAAATGTGCACGCAAAGAAAGAAGGCATGGTGTCAGTAACCGCAGTTAGTGTTGAAGCAACATGTCAGGGAGACGCTGTGTGTTTAAGTGCGAAAGCAAAAGCACTTTATTTGGATCACTTACAACAGAACAGCGTGCTTGTGGTGTTTGGCCAATCACAATGCACTGGGTCAGTTGGCCAATCAGAGCAGACTGCGCTTGTCGGAAGGAGGGACTTTGTAGAAAACGAAGCGTTTGAGAGAGGCGGGGCATATAGGACCTACAATAATGTACAGTATTTGAAAAATAATGTGTTTTTTGAACATTAAAGCATGTCAACATATTCTGTTACACCAAATACACAAAATAATGATCTTTAAAAAAGCATAATATGACCCCTTTAAACCTTGCCTTCGTAATCTATGTGTTCATATGGGTCAAGCCATCAGTCTCGATCAACATGTTAAAAATCTGGATCGAAATAGTTTGTATCAGTTGAGAAACATTGCAAACGTGAGGCCATCTGTGTCAATAGTGGAGATGGGGATGATTATACATGCTTTTATTTCCTCCCGCCTTGATTATTGTAATTGTCTTTTTATTACGTGTCTCAGTAATGCATCCCTGAAACGATTACAAGTGGTTCAAAATGCTGCTGCTAAGCTTTTAACTAAGTCCCCAAAGAGATCTCATATAACACCAATTTTGATTACGTTACATTGGCTCCCAGTCAAATTTAGTTCAATTTCAAAATATTTTTCTTGGTTTGTACAGCATTGCAAGCTCCTGTTTATATAAATGAGCTATTGCAACCTTATAATTCTAGCAGGAATCTGAGATCCTCCAAACAGATCCTACTAGTTGTTCCTCGCTCCAGACTAAAGACAAAAGGTGACTGTGCCTTTGGGGTAGTTGCTCCCAAGTTGTGGAATGCTCTTCCCTTAAATCTCAGATCTGTGGACACTTTTAAAAAGTAATTAAAATCTTACTTGTTTAAACTTGCATTTTTTTTTTTTTATTGTTTGCTATGTTTTTTTTTGTATGTTAGTAGTAGTTTTTTTCAATTGTTGTATGTTTTTCTCTATCTTGGATGTAAAGCACTGTGACGCTTGCTTTAGAAAGGTGCTATAGAAATAAAGTACTTACTATGGGCATTTAACAATTTTTGACTTTTCAGTCTGAGTTAAATCTCTTTTTGGCTCATTTTATCTGTAAAAGAAAACCTGCTTAATAATTATGCACACCTGAATATAAGGTGTTTTCACTTCCAACCTTCATGGACAATTATATATCACTTATAAATGATTAAAATGAAATGATAAAAAAAAATTAAAATGATAAAAAAAAATATGATCAGAATATAAACTTGCATATTGGATGGATGGATGGATGGATGGATCCTTGGTTCCTATTGACTTTCATTATACGAACAAAAATACAATTGGAACTGAAAATGTTCAGCTCCCAATATTTTTCTAAATATCTTCTTTGATGCCCCACAGAAGAAAGAAACTCGTACAGGTTTGAAATGACATGAGGGAGAGTAAATGATGACAAAACTGTCCCTTTAATATTCCTCTGTTACATGGCAGCATTTATCAGGCGGTCGCAGTTACCTGCGCATTTGGTGCGGGCTCTCAGCGGCGGCCCCGGGGCCCCGGTTCCTCCCTCCAGGGGCCGCGTCAGCAGCACGCTGATCTCGTACTCCGTGTCGGGGTCCAGATGGCCGATCTTGTGCGAGGTTTTATCGACGGGCTGCAGGTCGTACATGGTGCCGGAGACGGTGCGGTACTCCACCTCGCGGTTGATGATGGGCCCGTCTCCGTTGATGGAGTTCGCATTGAGCTGGATCCAGAGATATGTGGCCCCGACCGCCATGAGCTGAGGAGGAGCGATGGGAACCGGCGGCTCTGGGAGAACAGACAGAACATTTAACGTGAATAACAGCGGAATTACAGCAAAAACATCAGCCGTTTAATCCGTACATAATCCATAATAATGCTTCCTCCAGTGAAAAAGTGCATCTGCTGTTGTCTCTCACATCAAAATCCAGCCACATATTAGTTTAGAGCTGTTTAAACGCTGCTTGATCTGTGCAGATTTCTCTCCTGATTCACACCTGAACACTTTTTCACTGGAGGAAGAGGTATTATGGATTATGGACTCAATGTATTTGAGTTAAAAACGTCTTAATGCTGGATTAGTTTCAGCTTTTGTGTTCTCCAGATGTTAACTGATGGACTGGAGTGCTGTGGATTACTTGTGGATTATTGTGATGTTTTTATCAGCTGTTTGGACTCTCATTCTGACGGCACCCATTCACTGCAGAGCATCCATTGCTGAGACACTGATGCAATGCTACATTTCTACTGCTTTATTAATACTGTTTTCTGGAAACTGCATTAAAAGGAAGTGAGTTTATGCTTAAAACAAGAACAAATATCTGCCAACGGGGCCAGAAAAATTACAAACTAATTCAAAAGGCAAACAGAAAACTCACTTATTTTTGATGCATTTCTCAGAAAACACGATTTAAGTCACTGTGCATCTCCAGTCAATGTATCTTGATTTCATGTTTACAGATTTGTACTGGAAAACAAGACCAAATCTGAGTAAAAAAAAACATTTTTAACTGTGTGACAGTTTTCAAACTGTATTTTTCTTTTTCTTTCCCCCCTGAGTTTGACAAAATGTCAAATTGCTGTTTTTATCCGCTCGTGTCCTTAAAGCAGAAATAACTGAGAATGTCAGCATGCTCTCCTGAATGTTCCTCTATCTAATGCTCACCGATTCACGTGAATCATCTCTCAAGAGTCCTCCAGATGGCCCTGTGTGCCGCTTTACATCATTTTGTGCAGTGAAATAAATATATCACCACTGCGATTCTGTTCTATAGCTTAAAATCAAACAACAAATAAAATAATTCCTGTATATCAAACAGTAAAGAGGTTTGATTCCTAGCAAATGCATGAACATAACAAAATGCACAGCTTGAATGCAATGTAAGCTTCTTTGAATAAAAGTGTCTTTCAAGCGCATAAATGTAAATAACGTTAGAATGCAAGAGAGTCTAGTGCTCATAACACAGCCTTCATTTTCTATATTTAATTTAGAAATATGACCTGTATGCTTCACACAACGTGTCATTAATTATATAAATGTGTAAAAATACTATAAAATATATTATAAAAGTTATAGCATGAAAAGTATAAAAAAGGCATACAATTTTACAAATATACAATAAAATGTTTAAAAATGTATAGTATAAATTAAAAAAATGACTTAAGTAAACTTAAGTATAAAATGTATAAAAAGGTTAAAATACTTGAAAACATTAAAAGTTATAGTATAAAAAGTTTAAAAAGCATGAAAGCTTAAAATATACTACTGTATAAAGCTATACTTAAGCATGAAAATTACAGCATTTAAAAAAAAACTTTAAAATATTTTAAAAACTGCATTATTGTTTTTATTCTATACTGTACTTAAGTATTATTGTTTATACTTTAATAATATACTATACTAAAACATATACTATAAAACATTAAGTTATATAAAAAATTATAAAAAGCACTAAAGTATAAAATATACTATAAAACACTAAAAACTATATTAAGTATAAAACGTTTAAAATACACTACATTTTATTCCTAATATAACATATACTATAAAACATAAAAAAAATTGTATTATATTAAAGTATAAAAGTACAGCATTTTTAAGTGTATTATAAAACATTCAAAAAGTATAGTGAAAATATGTTTAAGTAGAAAAAGCTGTAATATATACTGTATAAGCTATATACATACACACACACACACATATATATATATATATATATATATATATACACACTACAAAAGTTACAGTATAAAAAGCATAAAAGCATGAAAGTTTAAAATGTACCATAAAATATATATATATATATATAAAAAAAATATAGTTTACTTTTTATTTAATATTGTAAGTAAAAAAGTTAAAAGTATCTTTAAAAATATTAAAAGTTATAGGAAAGTATACAAATAAAATAAAACAAAATATGCATTAAAATATAAAAAATAACCATGTTAAATATACCATCAAATATGATTAATGTTATAGTGTGAAAAGCATAATGAAATGTATATATGGAGAGAGTGTGTGTGTTTGTGTGTGTGTGTGTGTGTGTGTGTGCGTGTGTCAGGCAGGTGTGTTACCGAAACAGGTCACAGCTGTCCACTGTCCTAAAATCATCACACGCATGTGCGTGCTCTCATAGAAACACACACACGCAGGCATTTTAAATATAAAACTCAGAGGACCACAGATGATGCCAACCCTGAAACAACATGCAGAACTACCACATTTTGCTATAAGTTTGATTGCATCATATAATAATTGCTGTTAATAGTGTTCATCGTCTGTTTGATTACGTCTTTAATTGATTTTTCCGTACATTTCTGCCACATGTACATTAATTGACAGTCACCACTGATAAGCTACTACTAAATATTGTAGAAAATAAATTTTCTGTGAAGCTGCTTTCCAACGATTTGTATTGTGAAAAGCGCTATACAAATAAACTTGAATTTAATTGAATATAATCTTATATTTTTGTTATATTTTTCACATTTGTATACGTTTATAACTTTTGTTTTTAGTACAATTTAAACGTTTTGTGCTTTAATTATTATTTATAAATGCTTTATATTTTTATTATTTTTGTACTATATCTTTTCATTCTGTTTTATTATTATACATGTATATATTATAAATGTATTTTCCAATAAAAATCTAAAATTTTAGATATAATTTTATTGCATTAAAATTGTTACATAATGACCATTACAAATGCTGAGTCCGTGTTGAGAAAACTCTCTGAAACTCTTCAGGAGACATAGGAGAGATTACTGGAGTCCTCAAATACATTGGACTTTCTGTTTAATCTCATCTTGCTGTTTGGAAGTATTGTGTAAGATGTGATGGAGTGGTGTGTGTGTGTGTGTGTGTGTGCGTGTGTGTGTGTGTGTGTGAGACGGTGGCATTGAATTCCAT